AAAATCCAAATTTAACACAACGGATTTTGCTTGCGCTGTAGACATTTTCATTGTAGTTGCAAGTGTTGTGCATTCTAATTTCAGGGGGACTTGTAGTTTTTTATACAATCAAAGCTTGTGTTATAGTATGAAATTTCTTTTTTTCCAACCTAAGTCGCAAATATTGTTGCGACGCAAATATTATTGGGAAAAATTGTGTTCACTTTGAAAGTGGTCACTTTGAAAGTGTTCACTTTGATCAATAAACAGCTAATAAGTGTACAGCCAATGCTAAGGATATTAACACAGACTATTATATTATAAATAGCACTTTAGCTTCAAGGTATCATGGATCTGTAGCGTAGAGGTAGGGAATGAGGCCAGCAACTAAATAAGAGGATTCGAACCTGGGCAGGGTCGGATGTTTTTATTGAATTTTTTCGTATACTAGCTAAAATGCGTCCGCTCTATAAATTGAGGTATTGGTAATTTTTTTTCAGATTGACTCGTACTGCTAATGCGTCATAAATGGCTTTCATCACTGAGCGATTATGTAGATTCATAATTGGCGTGCGTCATAGGAAATTTTGTATGCGAAGTGCTAAAAAATTACTTCATAAAATCTTTATTTTTTCGGTTCAATTGCTTTCAGCTCAAAGGTTTTTGGCTTAGTTGCCACTTCGCTGATTGTTTTTGTGCTGTTAACAACTTTCCTTGTAGTTATAAGGTGCAAGTTTTTTCCATTAATGTTTAAGGTGGGACTTCAAACGTTTTTTTTTTATAAAATCAGATTTTCGGCTCAATTTGTGTCTGCTCAAAGATTGTCGGTTTTTTTTTCGTTAAGTTTGTTCCGTTGTTGCTGATTTAAAACACTTCTATCTAGACATATGAAATTTTATATGACCTAGTTTTCGTCAAAAATTTTCATTTTTGTTTGTGTTTATCGCAATTGGTGCGAAATTCTGCTTCGCTTCTGTGTATAATGTTCAAGTTTTCTTGTCTTGATCGAAATGCAATCACAATGTTTTGCTTTAGCTTCAATCTGATGTGGTAGTTGATTACGAGTCTGAAAGAGTTTTCTCATGAGTCCGTCAATTATGTGATAATATTTATCTCCGGTAATTTTTCATATTGATTTGTGTTAGATATTGATTTAAGTTTTAAAGTATGCGAGATAAATTCCGTTTTTTTTTGCGCGCTGAATGTCAGATAAGTGGGATGCGGCATCGGTTTTTATGTGATAGGATGCTTTATTGGTCAGAAAAGTTGCAAAGAGTGACCATCTCTGTCTTCATGTGGTGATGATGTAATTATTTTGATGCTAGTGTTTGTCTTGTGTTTGTTGTTGGAAATTAATTCTGATTTATCCCTGACTTTTATTTTTTTCAATCAATCTGTGTTTTTTCGGGTTTTTATTGCAAAGAGTTTCTTCACGGTTTTCAGCATAGAAGGAACCCATGGCTCGTGATAATTATTTTTCAGCAGAATTGCTTTTTCGTAGTTTTTATTGGCCCAGTTGCTTCTTTAGGCTATTTGTAAATCGAGTGTAAATCGAGAATTTCTTGAAAGCTCTGGTTTTGGTGTTAAAATCTTTTGGTTGGGTTAAATAGGGCTGTTTGAAGCTTGTAAGCACCTTCTGCCTCATGACATTCTTGTTTGTTGTAGTTAAAAATTTGTTTATAGATATTTTTGCTACATATAAATACACAAAGACAATCTCAGACAAATGCTTGGATATGAGGCAGTTGGAAAGACATTAGACTCTATTTCCAACGTCAATAGAGTGCATTTTTCAAAGTTTTCTATTTGCATTTCAAAGCTCGCGTTTTTTGTTCCGACCATTGAAAATGAAAAAGAACTTTGCATTCGGGTGTGTTTTAGTTTTGTTCTTTTTAATCCAATTTTTTGTTCTCTACACAACATCAGGTACCACAAATAATCATCGAACTGGGTCGAGTGATGTATTATATTAAAGCGTCAAGGAAAAGTGCTTTGAAGTTTTTGACTTTTCGTCTAATTTCGAGCGAGTGGGCAGGCTTATTTAACTAATTATGCTTAACTTAAGACTCGAAATTTTTTTTCAAGTATAGTTAGTTTTTGGAGGTTGTAGTGCCATATTAGGAATCAAAATCTTCAGAAATTTGTTTTGCGATTTTTGTTTTTCAAGTAATTTTTCTACAAAAACTGTTTTCCCATTTGCTTGTTTCACTATGACTGTCGAATACGCCTAAGTTCTACTTTTCTTTCAGTTCCTTGTATCACACCGCACAAAAAAACTACACGAATATGTCAATAATACGACACTAATAACGACACTAACTTTTTTATGCATTTTTGAAAGACTATAATCATAACATTCTGTGCTACGTGCACAGTAATTGGCTGAACTTGTTGTTTTTCTGCTTTGGTTGACGAAGTGCTGGTTTGCCATTTTGGTCAATGTGTTTTCTCTTGCAATCAGGTAAAAGACTTTTTCCCCGTAAATAACTTTGTTCAGGGACTTATCTCCTAGATCCTGGATTTATCGATCTAGTGTGCTTTTCTGTTGCAACACATTTTGAGCATGTTAGTGTTTTAAATCTCTGGCCTATTCGATTTTTTTTATGATGGTTGTAGTTTTACCCACTCGATTTGTTAAAGTTTCATTTAAATTTTTTTGGACTTTCGGCTTATTTTGTATCTGCTTAGTGGCCATTTGCCTTTATTTGATCGGCGAAATCTTTTTGTTGTGTACGCGAGTGTGTGTTCTGAGTGGAATAGTTTTTGTTTGGTTGCGAATCTATCTATCTATACTATATTGGAATGCTAGTGACAGCTATCTCCCATGTTTAAGCATAATATTTTTGCATGCTTAACGAAAGAATTTTTGCACGTTTAAGCTATATCGTACATTGCAATGGTTAATTTTTTTTCGATTTTCCAGTTTGAATCCAGTGGTTATTCCACCGAGTTTAAAATAAGCAGCCCCATAGTGGTACGCTGTCAGCATTCCCCAAGGGGTTGCGAATTTGGCCTCCAGTTAAGAATGCTCAAATCCTTTTAGTGTATGAGTGCGACGATTTTTGTGATTTTTTTTTCAAAATTTTCAGAAAACAGAAATAATAAAATAATTTACAAAACATGAAATCCCCAACCCTGTAGTTGGGTGCTGTCAGAGTATTCTCGAGGATTGCGAATCTTGTCTCCAAATGTGACGGCTCAAATCCTTGTAGTTTCCGAGATATGATGTTTTTGTGATTTTTTTTAAATTTTCAGAAAACTTAAACGAAATTTTTTTCTTCAAAATTTCACGTTCTCAGGCATGTATTTGGGGACTATCAGAGTACTCTCAGGGGTTGCGAAACTTGCTTCCAATTATGACTGCTCCAATCCTTGTAGTTTTTGAGATATGACTTTTTTGTAATTTTTTCAAAAAATTTTCAGAAAACTTAAACGAAGTTTTTTTTTAAAAATTTCAAATTCTCAAACATGTAGTTGGGTGCTATCAGAGTACTCTCAGGGGTTGCGAACCTTGCCTCCAATTATGACTGCTCAAATCCTTGTAGTTTTTGAGATATGATGTTTTTTGTGTTTTTTTTTTCAAAAATTTTCAGAAAACACATTAAAAAATATTTTAGAAAACTTGAAATTCACAAGCCTTTAGTTGGGTGCTGTCAGAGTAGTCTCTAGGATTGCGAATCTTGTCGCCAAATGTGACGGCTGAAATTCTCGAGATATGACGTTTGTGATTTTTCAAAAAAATTTTCAGAAAACTTAAACGAAATTTTTTTGTTCAAAATGTCAAATTCTCAACCCTGTAGTTGGGGCTATCAGTGTTCTCAGGGGTATCGAACCTTGCCTCCAATTATGACTGCTCAAATCCTTGTAGTTTTCGAGATATGAGCTTTTTGTGATTTTTTTCAAAAAATTTTCAGGAAACTTTAACGATAATTTTTTCTTCAAAATTTGAACTTCCCTACCCTGTAGTTGGGGGCTGTCAGAGTACTCCTTGCCTCCAATTATGACAGCTCAAATCTTTACAGTTTTCGAGATGTCGTTTTTTTGTGATTTTTTGAAAAAATTTTCAGGAAACTTCAACGACATTTTTTTCTTCAAATTTCAAATTCTCAACCATGTAGTTGGGTACTGCCAGGGTATTCTCAGTCGTTGCGAATACGACTACCTCCAAATATGACTACTTAAATGTTTGTAGCTCTCGAGATTTGACGTTTTCGGGATTTGACGGAAAATTGGAATTAAAAAAGTTTATAAAGTTTGAAATTACCAACCCTGTAATTAGGTGCTGTCAGAGCACTTTAAAAGCCTGCAGATCTGGTTTCCAATATATATGTGGTTTTTCATGAGTTGTCAAAAATTCGAAGCACCGGAGGTGCGTTTTACGCTAGTATTGTTGAATTTTTCTTTCGGCAGGAAAAGATTCTGCTCATATATTTTCGGCTTTGTTATGGATTGGTAAGATTGTACCGATACTAATTTTTCATCTTTTGACCGGGCATGTTTTCAAAACTATCTTTATTCAATTTGGTTGCTATTTTTTTACTGATGGTTTTTCGGCTTTTTGATTTCCCAAAAAGTTTAGGTTCGGTTTGTTTCTCAAAATGTGTGTACCCCTTTTGCATTCAGTATGTAAATGACCCTCATGGATACTATTTGGGAAGTACATGTGTTTTTCAAATAAGATTTTGCCGAAAAATTTTGGTTGATTTTCTGCGTTTTGAATGTCGGCTTATTTACCTTATTTTTCGATAAAATTTACGAGACCGATAAGGTTTTGAGCTCAAATTTCGAATGCTCAAAATCAACCCCCCTTGGAACTCATTAAAATAACTCAAAATACAATTAAAATAAAAAGCTTTTGATTTAATTTGTTTTTTGTTTTTCTAGTTCTTTCTTCAACGGTAACATCGTCCGAATTCCTGTTTGCCAGTTCTTGAGTGCTTTGATGTTATAATCATGTACTTAATCATGAATCGCAAGTAGTGGAAAGCTCAGCCTCCGCTTTGTCTCTGTAAATTGATTATAACAACAATGAATTCAATTTTGAAAGCTTGTGTTTAGAAGTTTTTGCAAATTTTGATAATTAATGGTTGAAGTCTATAATAGTCTGACAGCATATTCTGTCTCATTCCTATTGCAAAGGAGTCATTTTGGGCATCGTTGGTATCCTTTCTGAATCAATTAGATTCCAAATGAGGCGAAGTGCTTTCGTCAATATCTGAGACGTCAAATAACACTCGATGACCAGTGGGTTCATGGGTACACTCAGCACTTGCAGAAGCTCTGAGCATCAAACTGATTATTTTAACGGTCATTGTGGACTGCGATGAAACAAATGATTAGTTCTCCTCTTTAAAATTTTGGTCAAACTGGCCTCGGTAAGTTGGGTGAGACGTGACATGGGAAATGTGAATAGCTGCAACCTATATCTCCTTAAGAGTTTACACTTAGCCTCGTGCTGCGATAATGTTAATTCCATTTCCTGTTCAGTCTATGTAGAAATTTTGCTCAAGCCATTCGCAATAGGAGTCGAAATATTTCCATTTAGTGTACCTTTTCCAGTAGGAGCATAGACCATACGGTGGGTTGGATAAGCAAGCTTGTTTATTGGCTTGTATTTTTTTCTATCTTGTTGGCGGTCATTTCGTGGTCTAGTGTTGTTAGTGCTAATGTGTAATAGTTGATCAGGTGATGATGCTCGTCTACTATGGTATAGCGAAGAAGCAGCACATTTTAATCCTAACTGTTAGGCTATTATTGAGCAACCAACCTTAGTGCGGTAGCGGCCGGTCACAGCCACAACAGAGCACGGCATCAACTTAGCTGTAAGTCAACTCGACGCCACAATTGTTGACTGTGAGCGAGCGAAATGCAATAAAACAGGAGACAACGCTGTTCCCCTCCGCACTGCTCTGATGCTGCTGCTGCTCTGCTGTCGCTGTATCGTATGTTGAAAAAGAAGAAAACGATAAACAAAGGCGGCTAGGAGCAGTGCGGGGATTTATGCGAAATGAGGTATTGTAAAATGGTACAATTTTCCTTCTATTTGTCTGCTGACTATTGCGCGCATTTCGCCGTTTTTTATTTCGCTCCATTTTGTATTTGGCAGGGAAACGGATTAGTCGAATTAGAAACGTGCAACTCTTACATTCATAAACTCACTCCCGTCCCATTGCCCCGTTGACAAACGCTGAAAAAAGGATTTTGAGGTATATACAGCATATTGCTACATCAACAAACAACCTGGCAAAAAGAAGCGAAATCAGAAATAAGTGAGCCCAGCACAGCTAAACACCTCCCTGAACGACCACTCTTCTCGCGAGCATGGTTAACCAACTGTTGCATTGAATCACGAGAAGAGACGTGAACGGACAACTACTGAAGTCTTCATGTTAATGTTGATTCATTTGGTGCACGTACTTAGCATCAACAAGTCACCTTTGAGTTGCTGAATTTGAACCAGATTCACAGTATAAGTTATCGAACTCTTTGTCTTTTTTGTGCTTCGCTGTACTGTCTTCGTGTTACAATCTGTTTATTTTTGGATCATTGTTGTATTCGCTGGCTCTTCTCTTTGTATTCAGATTCGAATGGTACTCTGCCACAGTAGAGATTGCGTGTCGTCTAATAAGCAATCATGACCAGTATTTGCTTACTTTTACCATCCAACATTTCTCGATACTGATGATGCCATCATGGCAAAACTAAATATTAAAAATGGCCCTTAAAGTCGCGACTTGTAGCACGAGCTACAGACATGCCAAAATACACAAATTAATCTAACTAAAAAAAAAATTTTGCATCGAATTGTTAACTAGATGAGAATTTTATGATAAAACTTATCAGATATTTATAACTAACTTGGGCTCATAATAGCTTTGGCGTATTCGTTATTTTGTCTCAGCTGAAAAAATTATGTGCAGTGATCTAACAATTTTTGACTTGAAGTCGTTATTTGTCTTGCGACTGTGGCAGCACAATTTTTTAATAGTTCGCTAGCCAAAGTCGAATGATGTTTTACTACCATCGCAATTTGACCAACCTTTATCGATATTGAGGCACACGTACGAGCATTGCCAAATGTGAGCAGTGATTCAAGACTAGTGGTTAGTTTCATCTATAGATTAACTTATATTTTTGCTAAACTATCTGCCGAAAAAAACACGTAGCATTGAAGCATTGAGCAGGCCGTTTCGTTTTGCTGGTTTCGTTGTGTGTCGTCTACTCTTTTATTTATCATTCTTAATTATTGTGTTCAATTTCACCGTGTGCTATTGTTCTGATTTATCTCATCTGGCACTTTCGTGATACCACTGTCGAATAGTAGAGTTGATACTTCTCCAGTAGCTGCAGAACTACTCGTGGTCTGTTGAAAGTCGAAAAAGCACCAAGGTACATTTGGTCTTCAGCCATTCTGTTGGCGGCGTGAAATTGAAATATATTTGTTTTTACCACGCTTAAGCATTGCTCTATCATATAATACTCTTTGGTCTGATCTGGACATAACCGCATAACTCAGCGCAGCGCTAGTTCATTTTTGTCGTTTTTGGTCGTGTCGACGAATATGTTTCAACTTGCTTAATCTTGGCCACTAAATTGCGAGTCACGTTTGAAAAATTGAGCATACCTTTGATTGATCTCTTATTTGGCTATTTTGTTTTATCAACATAATTCAGCAATTTTCATAGCAATTTCAATTAATATTTGGAATTTTTCATTTATTTCTCATCAAGCAGAAACACATTTTCTTTAAATTTACCTGGCGTATTTGCTATCATTAATTCCTTTAACATATCTCCGAAACATTATCAAAACTCAAAACCGATATATTGTATCCAAATCTAGCTTCACCAGCAGCAAGTATATTGCCATCAATATCATCAGTAAAAATATCAATTCCTACAAATATTTAAACAGCTATTTTGCCAAATTAATTTTGAAATTATTTTTGGCGCGTCTTTCCAATATCGGCTCCCTTTACATATCTAGCTTACCGTTTAAACCAACCATATCATATAATCTCGTTTCCTAAGTTTAAATTTTAATTCCGAATGCAAATTGAACATTCGGAACTCGGTCGCCTTGAATGCAAAAGAAAAACTTTTTAGATAGGCAAATTGAAAGAAATCTAAAATCTATCTTATAAAGTGCGAAATTGTATAAGAACAATATATAATCAATTAGCGTGGTGCAGATTTAGTTTGCATAATCTCAAGTATATCAACATTGCTGGCCCCTATTTCATTTCGGATTGATTCTGCTTCAAGTTAGTTGATCAATTGAAATTTTGGTTTTAATTGAGTCTAGTAAGACCTGCTTTGTTCGTGGCTCCTCTGCAAAGGAGGCTTATTGTCTTTTTATTTGGACACTATTACATCTGCACGACACTCCTGGAGAACTGTGGCTGCTATCTTTTACCTGCAATTGAGTAAGTAGTATTTCTTTTCTTCCTCTAATTTCGAGGGCAATCGAAGGGTCAATTTTACAGCCACTCTGGAAATTCTATGCAAACATAAACATTATAATTCTCAATAGTAATTGGGCGTTCTCTTGTTGCGTCAATAGTCTACTGCAACAAAGATATCGATTTTTTTTGTAATATTTTGTTTTAGGAACCCAAACCAGAATCATTTCATCCTGCTGTCGTCAAAACAACGTCCTTGTACAATCTCAAAAATAGACCAGCAGCATAATCGCTAGTTTTGTCAAGAGGCTCAGATTTTCTGCACTTCTGTTCCACTGCTCAGCCGAGAATCACCGCAATTAAGTCCCATCCAAACTGGCCGTCACAGCCGACATTCAGCAGCTGGTAAGCAGTCGCCCTACTTTTCTTCCCTCTGTCGCTAGCTGCACATTTTTTCTATTTTAATGTGGCAGCTAGCAGTGGCTATTTTCTGTCAGTTGTCCCGTCAATACCAACTACCAACCACATCCTAAACTTTGTTAAGTCCCCGTATACAAGTCATTGAAAAATTTCTTCTGTAGCTTGGAAAAAAATTGGGAATCTTTTCAACTATCCCCCCCCCTTTACAAAAGGGTATGGGAATATTCGTAACTAGGTTTTGAATTCGCATATGCTTAACCGTTGAATTGTTTCATTACTGGGGTGGCAATTCGTTTCTAGGTACCAGGTACCAAAAGGGGAAATAGTTTAAGACCTCCAAAATTGGCTACCCAAGGGGGTTATCTTTCCGACTAGGAAGCAAAATCAGTGTTTTTGTTTTTGTTTGGCAACAATGATGCATGATTCTTGCAAAAAAAGAGGAAAACTTGCCAGGCCAATGCGGCTTGTTACGCTACTGCCAAATTATTTGGGCGTTATTGGCTGAAATAAGTAAGAATATTTTTTTGGAGGCGGAGCAATAAGCAGAATGGTCCAAGTGCAGAAAGGGTCTAAGAGCAAAAAACGGAAAAATGTTGTTTTTATGGGCTAATTTATGAAAACAACTACTAGAATTGTCAATACTACATATGAAATGAATAAATTATACTTAAATTGGGTAATTTCGTCAAATTTATTGTACAAAGAAATTTCAAAAATTTTGATTAACGTTCCCAATTTATGTGTAATATAGTCTTTTCAGTGGTTATATTGAGGATTCTAAAACTTGCTTTTACCGAAAAGCTCGTATAATTCAATATTTCTTTGTTTTTTCTGCTCTTAGACATTTTCTGCTTTTTAACCATTCTGCTAATTGACCGGCCACCAGGAGTCGGAACAAAAAGCAAAATGATTTAAGATAAGAAAGGGCTTAGGAGCAGAAAAGCCGAAAAATATTGTTTTTCATGGGCTAATCTATGAAATAAACTACTAAAATTGTTAATACTACAAATGAAATGAAAAAATGATACTTAAATTGGGTAATTTCATCAAGTTTATTTTGAGAGAAATTTGAAAAATCTTGATTAATATTCACAATATGTGTAATATAGTCTTTTCAGAGGTAATATTGAGTATTCTAAAACATTATTTACCGAAAAGCTCTTATAATTCAATATTTTTTTTGTTTTTCTGCTCTTGGACGGGAAGGGTTCTCATACTGGAGGGACCGAATGCTTGAAAAATTCCAACCAATCAAAATCGCTAAGCGTTCCTATTGGCTAAATGCTTTTCTCATAAAATTGACGTCAATATTGAGAGAAAATGTTAATAAAATAATTATAATAGATGCAGATAGAATAGGTGCAGATAAAAAAATTTGTTTTTTGTTTTTCCATTTTCCAATTTATGCGTAATGTAGTCTTTTCAGTAGTAATATTGAGGATTCTGAAATATAATTTACCGAAAAGCTCATATAATTCAATATTCTTTTGTTTTTCTGCTCTTGGATCTTTTTGCTCTTAGACCATTCTGCGCATTAACTGGCCACCGAAATTTCCTTGTTTACCTCTTGGTTCTCTATCTCTGAATATTGCAGTTGTTTCACCCAAATAATTGCGCGGTGCGTATTCACAGGTCCCAAAAGAAAAATCAGTGCCATAGGTCCTAAATTAAAAAAGCAGTCGCTTAAGTCCCAAATCTTTTCAATTCGTCAAAAGGCTAAATTAGCCGAGTCTCGGTTTAAGGTCGCCTAAATTCTGTTAGCAAGCTCGCAACACATGGCGCGGCTGTCACTATTCTGCAGCTTGAGTTTATGCTGCTTGAACAGTAAACAACTAATCCATAAGTTCGTTGGCTCAATTTTCAACCAATAGAATTCAAGATGGTAAATTTTGGAACTTATGCGACTGTTTTTTTTTTATTTCGGGAGCTATGAATATTGGTATCTTTCACCAATTGCGCAACTATGGTCCTCATTTCGATCAGAGTATAGCAGATGTGTGCATGTCTTGTCTTGACATAAAATCTGTCTCTTGTCTTCATTTATAAAAGAGCCATGAAATATGGCGGCGTATCTCTTCTACAGAAGTTAAATATAGTGAACTTGGATATTATTTCACAGCATAGTCCTAGCATAATTGTTATTTCGCTTTCTCTGCTCATCAAACTATCATTGGGGGTTTAGAGAGCGCGAGAGATTGAACTATAACTGGGATCAATGGCACACTAATCACTATTGCAACAGAGCATGGCACAAGTCAAGTCTACATCTCAAGTTTGGCCACGTCTAATAAACAACAATTTACATTGTCGAAACAGTTGCTTTCATTGGTTCCATTTCATCAACCATAATTTGCTCAATAAGTGTACAGTAGCATTGACAGAGAAGACCTAACACGAAAATCAACAGGTCACCGGATTTCTCTGTACAATCTCCATTAAAATTGCTGGAATTGTCGAAAAAAGGTAAAAGCCGTGATCTGAGCTCATTTTTTCAATTAAAGACATAGATAGTTTGACAGCGGTCAAATAGTTATAGCTATCGACTGCTACATCCAATACACGACTGTTAGTTTTAGACGAAATCTTTCCCCATGCTCTAGAAATTGCAAAAGGTCACTTTTTCGGACAGTTTTTGAAGAGTAGTTACTACATTCACTTGCGAGAGGGGCAACTACACTTTTCTCATGTCAACAACTTTTATTACAAATCTGCGAGAAGTTGAACTTGTTTGATAATTGAACCCGAAATACTTCGCGAATTCTGGAGTTCCCTTAGGTCTGGAGTTCGGATCCCGGCAGTTCCTTGTTTTTTTTTTCAGTATGTATTTTTAATTATAGGATTTCCGTTTGTCTGCTCATTTTTTGTCTATTCGCTAGTTGCAAAGCTTTGCTTGTGTTCAGGGTCTGCAAATTGTATGCTACTTTCGAAAATATCAAGCTAACAGTTAACTAATGAAAAAATCATGTAATTTATATTAAATAATTCAACACAATAACAAGCATTAAGTTGGCTTCTGAGCTTCCCATACGTCAGACCAAGAATTGAGAAGCATCGCGCAAGTCCGGAGGAGGCGGGGCATGCGCCCACCATAGTCGAAGCAAGTGTCACTAACTTGGAGTTGAAACCCATTCGGCCACCGGCAACCCGCCAAGCTCCAGGAGACAACTCTTTGTAGCTTTCGGTGAAAAGATGATGTGAAGAATAAGGTGGGAAATTTGCCCAATACTTCGAGACATCAGAAGCAAAGTCGGGGTCACACTGGTTTCTGTACTCGGTTCCTTTTCAAACTTCGGTGGGCCCATTCTTGAGCCATTATATCGATGGGCCAGCAAGTTAACGGCCTAGAAAATTGGAAGAAAATCAGCACGACAAAATCAGCATTGGCATATACTCATCAGGGCATTTTAATGGTAGGTCCATCCAAATTTCAAACACGTCACCCTTGTTGGTTTCATCGCTTTGAAGCTTATCAAGCGAAATGACAATCGGTTTCAAAATTGCGGATCTTGTGCACCTCTTTTGATAGAAATTTCTTCCATGCATCTGTATAATGTGTCATACGCTTTGAGTGTTTTTTAAAAATATCACCGTCATATTTGACCTATGAGTCGTAAAATATTCAAATAAGCAAATCTGCAACTGAATTCCAGCGAGTTTCCACGGTCTCGGAATTTCAGCCGTTTTTGGCAGGGCTGACTCGGCGTAATGATTTCTGAGATGTTTCAACACTGACGTAATTTTGTTGATAAATGGCTTGGCTGTCCCGGATATGTCTTTTGCAACGAGGTTGATGGAATGGGCCTGACAGCCATGTGCATGGAAAAGGTTTTCAGGATGAGACACTGTCTCTCATCTACCAAATACACAAGAACAGTGACTCTCTCCTGATGTGTCGATGGTGTTGACCATAAACGTCCCCACAGAAGTTGTGATGGAAACTCACTGGGTCATTTGCGAGTGTCGACCACCCGTCTAGAGAACCAGAGTAGCATTGCAGTTGCGAAGTTGTTTTCGTTTTTTCTTTTTCCTGTGCAAAGTTTTCATCAAGAATAGGCCCAGGCCAGCTTATTTCGATTGGGTTTTCAAACTCTGGGTTTCAGTTGCTTTCTCAAACTCTTTGTTCTTCACTTGCAGAAACGACGTGTTGGAAGCAATAAAAAAGCGACAAATTTGCAGCTCAATTTCGTGTGCTTTGTCAGATGATGTCATTCCCAGAATGGTCTGTTTCAGGACGTTTCTCGGCATTCACTCCCCACGTCGTTCACATCAACTGCTGGCTTGCTTGCATGCTTCCCAGTGTTTTTTTTTCATTCGTTCAGGGTTGGCAACAAACGTTTCCCCGCAAGATTCACATTTCCCTCTCACCACACCGTCCACTTGTAATGGTGCCAAATATCGCTCTTTCTTCGTCCCATGGCCAAGCGGAATGATATTCAATCTGAAAACTGTTAAATGCGGTGGGTTTTCAGAAAAATACTGTTATATTGTGAGAAAAGTTGTTATACTGTTGTGGTTTTCTGAAAAGTACCCATATTTCTGAGAAATAGCTAACCTCACTGTTAAAAAAATTGAATAACATTGTAAGTTAAATTGAATGTTGAATAATAATGCTATATAACTTCCCAACCCTGCTTGTGTTGTGCTGCAACTGTTGTGAAGTTTAGTCCTATGTGTTCAGTTATCATTTAAAAGAGCGCGAATCGTTAAGAAAACTTTGTTAGGTTAGCCGTTTGATGTGCTAGAAGGACAAATTGTTTCGATCCAATAATTGAAGCCAAGAAATTCAAAATGATGAAAGAAACAACACTTAACTGATGCAACAATTTTCATCTTTCAAACTAAATGTACTATTGTTTTGCTTTGAAATCCGTGGTTTTTGAGTGTAAAAGAACGCAAAGTTTTTTTTTCAGGGAAAATTATAAAATTTGTTCGCTCAATTTTGATTTTTCGCGGTTTGATTTCTGATTTCTTTTTCAGTTCAGTGCATTTGCTTGTTAAGATGAGATCACTTTAAGACAAAAAGAGCCAATCATAAACAATTCTTGAACTTCAATGAGCTTTATCGTGATATATTTTTTTACTTCGAAATTCGAAAGTTGCAAATTGTTCTGCTCATATATCATCAAAATAGTGCCAAGCTTGCTGTTTCTATTTATTCAACTATCATGCTTGTACTTGTTTCAAATAATATTTTCTATAAAAGTTCGGTCATTTTATTGTTGAAATATTTTGGCACCCTGGATTTAAAGAGCTCAGTTAAATCTGTTTTAGAGAAGTAAAAATATCAAAAACGATCTCAGTACCGAAAATGCTTGGATAAATCATTATTGCAAATTTCGAATTCAAAAAGCAGACTAATATTTCTTTGTCCTTTTTTGATGTTTTTTTGTTTGATCATACAAGTTTGTTCAGAACAAAATCGTAAAAAATGTATTTATCTCCGTTGCTCAGTTGTCTGTGTCATTGAACAAAATGGCGACATTCATTTAAGTCGCTCATGTCTCTTTTCATTTCCAGAAAAGCTCACAATTTTTTCAAACTCATTTTTTTTCAATTTTGTTTGACTTTTTTCGTTTCAGGAAAGTCTTACAAGTTGTCCAAAGTCAAATACACTCTCCAATAGCGTCAGTGTAAATGGCGCTTAAAATCACGAAAACTCGTAGTTTCAAGTGGGTTTGAAATTTCCCAGCTGAATAATAATTACTTAATGCAGGGGCGGATCTAGGATTTTTTTGAGGGGGGGGGGGGGGGCGGATTTTCAAAAAATTTTCGAAACTTTTGACGACCTTTTTTTTTTTAGGTCGACCAATTTGATTTTCCGAGCTCTCCTAAAGCACTAAATAGTCCTCCCTGTTTTGGCCAAATTTTCTGCGCCGCAGGCTAATTTTTGATGAAAAAACAGGTCAAAAAAGCCGTTTTTAGGCACTTTTTGAAAAATTTTGACAAAAAAATTGCGTTTTTTTGGCGCATGCTCCCCCTCAAAGTTAGTATACATTGGCGTTTTTTTGGCGCATGCTCCCCCTCAAAGTTAGTTTACATTGGCTCCCCCTCAAAGTTAGTATACATTGGCTCAAGGTTAGTATACATTTAGAAAAATTTTAGGGTCGGTCGGCAAAAATGGATTTCTTAAAAAGTACAAGTACCAAAGGGGGGACCCCCCCCCCCCTAAATCCGCCCCTGACTTAATGCATGATCCAATTTTAAATTCTTGAAAAAAGTCATCATAAAACAGTTGAATTTCAAAGACCGAAAGACTATAATTTTTACAAGTGCTTAAATATTTTTCTGTCGGTTTTCGGAGTTCATTCCAACAGTCTGTTGGCTATGTTCATGTTTCTGTGACACATTCCCGTTCAATTCATATTGACACAAATCAGCTTGACTTTTGAACGGAATTGGACCTCGACATTAACAAATGTGAATTTCACTAGAGTTATTTCGCGGGTCCGGGTTTTCATTTTTGTTTGCATTTCGTTTCCCAAACTGTTTGAATTGGTGTGATAAACGTCTAAAGGACAAATTTGTATTCTGTTATGTAATATCTCGCAATCTTTTCGTGGCGCCACCTTCGAAATATGGTTGATGATTCTTTCTCTCTATCAGAAGTAGTTCACTTTTGGAATGCCAGCTCGGTTTCATTTGAAGCTAGCCAATCTAATTGAGGTGGAATGAATCCGCCACGTTGTGACTAGGAATTTTCCGATGGTATTCTCAAACACTATTGATAGTAAATAATTTAAATAGCGAATTCCGATGCAACAGATTAACTTAACTTATTGACTGAAAAGTATTTGCCCTGGAACAATTGATAGAAGTTGAAAAACAGACCAACTATTGGACCTAGAAAACTTGTTGCGTGCTCAAAACCCCGTAACATTTAACCACATTGGATCAAATAGTTGCTCGTCTCTTCTCGGAATAGTTTGGCCTTGTTAGCCCTGTATTGTGGTGGTCTTATATGCCTCTCGTCGGTCGATTTCAGATGGGGCGGTTCTGTTTATTAAACACGAGTCCACTTGTTTATGCCGACAAATAAGGAGTCCAATATAAACATCTCGCTAGACTTCTTTCGCGATAGATAGTATTCGAAACTTTGTTTAAGAATCAGTCGCTCTTGTGGTCTTATTTGTACCAGTTTTGCTATATTTATTTCTACAAAGCAACCATCTTTTCACATCTTGAGCACCTGTAATTAACTCGTGAAAGTTAACATAAACAAATCGATATAAATAGGAGGCGCATTTGCTGTCAACTAGTTACCAATGTATGCAATAGTTAACACGGGACTGCTTCAGCTCAAAATGGTGGGAATTGAGAACGGGTTCGACTCGCACCAGTTCAATCACCTTGGCAGCTCCGGAGGGGGAGTGTTGAAGAACAACCCGTTCGGTTTCCTCAACTCAGCAGCCTCGTCTCCTTCCAAGACGGGAGGCGGGGGGATCAACTTGAGCACGAATGAATATGAGCATCTGCTGGACACGAATTTAGAAGAGGAGGAGGAGGAGGTGGGACTGAACCTGACACAGCCTCACAAGCACGGCCAGGACGACCACGCTAACGGGCGAATTGAAGGGGACCACACAGGGTTCCGGAGGGATCTGCTGAGTCACGATGTCAATTCACAAGGCCATTGCAACAAATCAGGATCCAAAGAGGGGGCAAATGGAGTCGCAGCGGGCAGTGATTGTTCATCGTGCAACAGCTGCTCAACCAAGTCACGCCTGTATCTAAAGGGGGAGAAGACAGAGCTGACCATGGGGGAGAAGGAGAAGTTGCTCGAGTGTATCAAGGTACACGAGGTCATTTTCAACCCAGAACACCCCTCCAGGTCTGTCCGTGATCTGGTCACGTCCGCCTGGGAAGATGTCGCAGAGAAAACAGGATTTCCAGGTTTGTAAATACCTACCTACTCACACTTAGGAATGATGCCCAATTGCATTTGTGGAGGTCAGAGAAAGGTACTATCTAAAACCGTTCAATGTTCAATCATTTATCTATTAATTATTGGAAAAAAGCTAGTAAAAAGGGTGTTGTTTCAGTTGAACTTTGCAAGGAAGCCTGGCGCAAGATAAAACTAGCCTATCAGAACTCGCAGCGCCATGCACGCTCCAAAGTGAATGCAGACGGTAGTATACGGAAGCCATACTACTTGCACAAACAGATGACCTTCTACGAGCCCCACCTGAGGGCACGTGACGTCATGAATCAGCTGGTGAAAGTGGACCAACAGGCGGCACAGGAGAGAAACCAGAAAAATCACCAGTCTCCTGGAAGTACACCTTCCGCAAGTGTTTCGCCACAGCCGCAGCCCTTGAATCTTCAGAGCCAGACTTCACTGTCGTCTCCAGACTCGGTTTTGTCTCAGAGATCAAATGACGGATGCGAATCTCCTCTGGCACTGGACGCTCGAGTTTCAGCGACGACTTCTGAAGTCAACTATTCTCCAAATAACACATCCATGTCTTCCAGCTCGCCCTTTCTGTCGGGTGCAATCAGCGCATCTGAGTCGGCTTTCATTACGTCACTAGTGATGAAATCCATGCCACCAGTGGTCACTTCTTCGACCATATCATCTATCAACGACACCACTTTTCTGCCGTCACCGCCCCAGCCGGAGAACAGACTGCTGAAGCGGAAGCTGGAGCCAGACTTGTTCGTATCACAGCAGCCCAGTCTGACTGTTTCTAAGCAGCCCAACCTAGTCAGCCAAACAGGTCACTTGCCATTCAATGGTCACATCAGTCCGCCAGTAGAGAAGCCTCTGTTAAAATCTTCCTCCTCCTCTTCTCTTCTCCTCCCATCCGCCCCATTCATATCCCCTCTCTGCTCCTCCTATGCTCCCTCATCGGTGTCAGGTTACTCATCCCTGTCTCCGCCGAGCAAACAGTGCCCGCCTGTCAACACCGCAACCCCTCCCCCACTGGAAGTGGACGCAGACCTACAGTTCCTGCTTTCGCTGCACGCCGACATCAAAAGTCTCAACTTCAAGCAGAAGTTTGGCTTCAAGAGAAAGGTGTACTCTCTCATGGAAGAAATACTAAACAGCAGCGGCGAGAATTAGATCTCCTTTCAATAAACTCTTCGGACAAACTTTTGCACTCTTAATGAAAACATTGTAATACATGCCAGCCAAACAGCGCGATGAAAGCCAAGTTCTCGCCTTAAATTGATTGGAGCAACATAAGACTATCTTTCTGGTTTCTTAGTTGTAGCGCTGGCATCAGAGATTTGAAATTGGTGATAATTTCTTGTAAAAAGTTCTTTGAAAATTAATCATGTAAACTTGATTGAAGCTTGATGCTGATGTTACTTATGTACAGACTACTGCTGTTTCTTTTAGAGCGTATCCTAACTAAATATCTACCTCATATCAAACTACGATATCTTTTTCAGCTCATATCCACTCACAAGATCTTGTAAAATAATTCTAATTTCCAATTTCCCGGCCTTTTTAATTAGTAAAGAAGAAGAATGACCGTTTGCTGTGCATGTAGCAAAGGTGTCCCGACTGCAGCTACCACCCCAAAAGAAATCATTTTCTCTCTTGTAAATGTTCTTCTTTTGGGGGTACAAAGAGTGCAGAAACATTTACTAGATGCTTGAAAGATATAAAAGTTATTTATAATAGCCTTATTACCATAAAATATCTTAACCGGATGAGATGACCCAATTCAATCCTACTTCGCTCTAAACTAAGCTAAATAGCAACAAGGATAGCCGGCTACTGTGTTGCTCAGAATGTTCCGACCATAGTCTTTACGCTTGCGATTAGCAAGCGTTATCAAACTGGAAAGACTTTCGGGTTACCAACTTGTTAAACAGAATCACTTGTATCTTGTTTCATAATGAATTCAAACTTCTAAGCGTTCACGGTCAACTTAGCCTGGCGGTAACGAATTTACCTGGGGAGTCTAAGGTCCTGGGTTCGCATCTGACCAGGACCTGTTTGTTTTTCAAACGGGAAATCTTCGTTTCAAATGAAATTGTCGGCAAATTATTTGTCAGCTTATCTGTTGTCGGCTTAGTTGCCACAGCTTGGTATCGTTTTTCTTACAATTTGTAATTTTACTTGACTTGATTTCGTACTTCCTTCTTCGTTTTTTGTTTCGCTAAAAAATCTCAAACCAAATTGTTTTGGCCTATTTTTACCGGCTTAATGAATTATTTTGGGTCGTTTCAAGGGAAATACAATTTTAACGTTCCCCTCCGCACTTTTCAATTTGGTTGTTTGTTTACCAATCGCTTCGTTGGAATATTTTTTTTCATTATGGAAAATTATTTCCAAACCTATTGGAAAAGTATAGTTTTTCTCAGAAACTTCTACTGAATTTCAAGTGGTATCATTTGAAAAAGCGCCTACTCCCCTGTGTGCCTGTCCACTCTCCTACAGTCTCTTCTTACTTGACCCGTATTTCTACAACCTGCGAAAAAGTCTGTGTGGGAACACTTAAACCATACAGTGAGTTCAATGGAGGTAACCGGTTGTGAGAAGCTCCCCTGCATTAGCGGCCATTCACAAAGTTTTTGCGTAATGTAAGGAAAGGATCTAAACGGGAAACTAAAACTTGAGCATACGTGACAGTCATAGTAAAATAGCAAATTGATCTACAGTTTAGAAGTCAAATTTTGAAAATCATTTTTTTCTGAATTTTTTCATTCCAAAACAATCCAAAAAACAACTTTAATCGACTGAAACTAAACTTTCGCGGCTTGACTTGAGCATAAATAAGCTTTTGTAAGCCTGCTCGCCCACCTTTATTTGCCCGACTTCACACTAAAAATCAAAAATTTCAAATAGATTTTTCTCGACACAGAATTTTTTTTAAATGTAGTTCGAATCATGTCTTAAAGAGCTTTGGTATGATATGTCACTCCACCCCATGATTAATCGTTGTAATTGACTTTCTGTGGAAAAAGTTGATTAAAAGAAGATAAAATTAAACGACAGTCGAATACAAAGTTCATCATTTTCAACAAAAAAAGTATCACCAAAACCAACCATCAATTTTTTCTCGTTAAAAACTTCAGGGTTTCTTCAAGTTCACTGGTCCTGTTAATTTTCTTGTTTTGTTTTTTTTTCCAGCAGAACAATGAAATCATGTAACACCGTGGTTAAAGACAGGCCTAGAAGTGATCCCTTTTACAAACACGCAACTGTATAATTAAAACAGCCGAGAACACTATTTAAATAAATGTTTTTCTAAGATAAAAACTGAACATTTTTAATATACGCTCTTCTGAATCATCCAAGAGAACTGCCAATTCGTGATGAGTCATGGTTTTGTGAAATGTGAGTCTGTGTTTGTTCTTTGAATTTCTCTGCGAAATTTGACGTAATTACTTTTAAAATAGAAGATTGAGTTTTTTGAACCGTTTGTGCCAGGCATGGAGTTTCACTCGGTTCTTCTGCATTAGCGGGCTCTCACAAAGTGTTTTTGCCTAGTGTAATGAAAGGGTCCAAAGGAGAAACTAAAATTTGAGCATATTCGACAGTCATAGTAAAATAGGCAAATTGGTCTACAGTTTTTGCAGGAAAAAAATAGAAAGTCAAATTTCGAAAATCAATTTTTTTTGCTTTCTGAAGTTTTTCATTTCAAAAAAATACAAAAAAAAAACAATTTTACTTGTCTAAAAAAAATTTCCGGCTTGAATTGAGTTTAAATTGAACTTTGTAAGCCTGCTCGCTCGCCTTTATTTGCTCGAAATCACACTAAAAATCATAAATTCCAAAGAGATTTTTCTCGACACTGAGAAAAACTTTTTGAATGTACTTCAAATCACGTCTTTAAGAATTTTGATATAATTTGTCACTCCACCTTGTCCTATGCTTAATCTTAGTAAGTGATTTTACGTAGAAAAAAAATTGAAAAAAGAAGATAAAACTAAATGACAGTCGAATACAAAATTCACCAGTTTCAACCAAAAACCATCTCCAAAACCTACCATTCATTTTTTCTCGTTGAAAATTTCATGGTTTCTTCAAGTTCACTGTTCTTGTTATTTTGGTGTAATGTTTTTTCCAGCAGAACCTTGAAATCAAATAATCCCTTGTTTGAAAAGAGGTCTAGAAGTGATCACTTTTACAAACACTGAACTGTATAATTACAACCGCGTACAGCTACCACCCAAAGTTAATTATTTGCTCTCATGTAAATGTCCTCCAATAGGGGGTACATAGAGTGCAAAAACATTTTACTAGATGCTTGTAAGATGTAAAATTACTTTTAACAGCTTTTTTAACATAAAATGATTTAACCGGATGACATGATCCAGTTCAACCCTATTTCGCTCTAAACTAAGCTAAATAACAACAAGGATAGCCGGTTATTGTGTTGCTCAGAAAGTTCCGACCATAGTATTTACGCTTGCGATTAGCAAGCGTTATCAAACTGGAAATAATTTTTTCGGGTTAGCAACTTGTTAAGCAGAATCACTTTTATCTTGTTTCATAATGAATTCAAACTTCTATGCGTTCCCGTTCAACTTAGCCTGGAGGTAACGAATTTACCTCGGGATGCTAAGGCCCTGGGTTCGCATCTGATCATGACCTGCTTGTTTTTTTTTCAAACGGAGAATCTTCGTTCAAATAGAATTATCGGCCAATTATTTGTCTGCTTATCTGTTGTCGTCTTAGTTGCCACAGCTTGGTATCGTTTTTCTTTCAATTTGTAATTTTACTTACTTTGACTTCGTACTTCCTTCTTCAATTTTTTTGTTTCGCTAAAAAAATCTCAAACCAAATTGTTTCGGCCTATTTTTACCGGATTAATGTTTTACTTTGGGTCGTTTCATGGGAATTAAATTTTTAACATTGCCCTTCGCTTTTTTCAATTTGGTTGATGTTTACCAATTGCTTCGATTGATTTTTTTTACTATAGAAAATTATATCCAAATCTATTGGAAAAGTTTAGTTTTTCTCAGAAACTTCTACTGAATTTCAAGCGATATCAATTGAAAGAGCGCCTACTCCCCTGTGTGCTTGTCCACTCTCATTTTTACTTGACCGGTCTTTCTGCAGCCTGTGAAAAAGTTTGTGGGGGAAGACTTGAACCATATTGTTAATTTTTTGTTAGTTTGCTCGACAACTACCCCACTCAAGTTTGAGGTTTTGATTTCAATTTAAAAAATAATTATGAATAGCTCCTTGCCCTTAAGGAAGCTTTTTCTTGAACACTATCGTCTAAAATCTGATATAGTCAGTTCAATGGAGATAACCGGTGGTGAGAAGCTCCCCTGCATTAGCGGACACTCACAAAATTTTTGCGTAATGTAATGAAAGGATCTAAACGAGAAACTAAAACTTGAGCATAATTCACAGTCATAGTAAAATAGCAAATTGGTCATAGTAAAAAACAGTTTTTGTAGAAAAAAGACTGGAAAGTCAAACTTTGAAAATCAATTTTTTGCATTTTTTCTGTGAAGTTTTTCATTCCAAAACAATCCAAAAAACAACTTTAATCGACTAAAATTAAAATTTCGCGGCTTGAATTGAGCATAAATAAGCTTTTGTAAGCTTGCTCGCTCACCTTTATTTGCCCGAATTCACACTAAAAATCATAAATTCCAAAGAAATTTTTCTCGACAGTGAGAAAAACTTTTTGAATGTACTTCAAATCACGTCTTAAAGAATTTTGATATGATTTGTCACTCCACCTTGTCCTATGCTTAATCTTAGTAAGTGATTTTCCGTGGAAAAAAAATAGAAAAAAGAAGATAAAACTAAATGACAGTCGAATACAAAATTCACCAGTTTCAACCAAAAACCATCTCCAAAACCAACCATTCATTTTTTCTCGTTGAAAATTTCATGGTTTCTTCAAGTTCACTGTTCTTGTTATTTTGGTGTAATGTTTTTTCCAGCAGAACCTTGAAATCAAATAATCCCTTGTTTGAAAAGAGGTCTAGAAGTGATCACTTTTACAAACACTGAACTGTATAATTACAACCGCGTACAGCTACCACCCAAAGTTAATTATTTGCTCTCATGTAAATGTCCTCCAATATGGGGTACATAGAGTGCAAAAACATTTTACTAGATGCTTGTAAGATGTAAAATTACTTTTAACAGCTTTTTTACCATAAAATGATTTAACCGGATGACATGATCCAGTTCAACCCTATTTCGCTCTAAACTAAGCTAAATAACAACAAGGATAGCCGGTTATTGTGTTGCTCAGAAAGTTCCGACCATAGTATTTACGCTTGTGATTAGCAAGCGTTATCAAACTGGAAATAATTTTTTCGGGTTAACAATTGTTATGCAGAATCACTTGTATCTTGTTTCATAATGAATTCAAACTTCTATGCGTTCCCGTTCAACTTAGCCTGGAGGTAACGAATTTACCTGGGGATGCTAAGGCCCTGGGTTCGCATCTGATCATGACCTGCTTGTTTTTTTTCAAACGGAGAATCTTTGTTTCAAATAGAATTATCGGCCAATTATTTGTCTGCTTATCTGTTGTCGTCTTAGTTGCCACAGCTTGGTATCGTTTTTCTTTCAATTTGTAATTTTACTTACCTTGACTTCGTACTTCCTTCTTCAATTTTTTTGTTTCGCTAAAAAAATCTCAAACCAAAGTGTTTCGGCCTATTTTTACCGGATTAATGTTTTAATTTGGGTCGTTTCAAGGGAATTAAATTTTTAACATTGCCCTTCGCTTTTTTCAATT